CGCTACTGAAGCCATCTGATTTATATTGGTGGTAAAGAAGGAGTTGGTGGTGGCAGCTTACATAACTTCAAGAAATAAAACAATTGATTGGTAGTACAAGGCCCCACCTTGTACTATCAGTCCCTCGGATAAGGTAAAGGCTCCATTGTGTCTGTGCAGTCCACTCAGCCAAATGATCGGGAAACTGTAATTGAGAGTTAAATGAGGAGCTATATAATATTCATGTAGATACAAGAAAGGCCTTGAGCAGAGGTCAATCTGCAGCTGCCTGGCACACACTTACCTAACTATCGCTGACCTTGCAAGATCCTTCGGCTTCCTGTAATTTGCTGACTACTTAGGAGTGTTGCTGTCAGAATGACTGATATAAAAGAAGTACAGGAAATTTTGTAAATCCCAAAATCCCAAAAGTATTCAATACCCGCCTAACATTTTCTCCCCCTTTGGAAAAAATGTCAAACATACCCAAGTCAGCCCATGTGTTGAAGAACAGTGAACACCTGTCTCCAGATATAGTACGTAAAACATTAGAAAAAACACTTTTCTAAATAATTATGTCCAATTTCATTCTTGACCCAAAAATAAAAAACAAGTCAGAAACATACCAAAAACCGTGTGGGTTCAATCTCTATTTGATCAACAAGACTTCTGACAAGGACTTAAGTACAGATTGATTTTACAGTTTTCACTTTTATTGGGAACGGTTGATGCTATTTAAACTGAGCAGATACAAAAATTATCACAAATATGTGTGTCTGGACGAATAAGGGAGTATGGGGTGACTATTATTAAGCATTGCTCAGGATATTGCCTTGAGATGAGGCGACCAGCTTTGCCTAACGTTTCCCTTCCAGAACCAGGCCAGTCAAGGTAGTGCCTTGAGCCATTTATTTATCAGTCTTCACCAGGGAGGGGGCCACACCATTGCTTGCAAACATAGGGCTTCAGCTTCGCAAAATGCACTAGTATTGAACATAGGTGAACTGTCAGTTTTGGTGTCAGTGCCTTACGAGCTCTTATTAAGGCTTTGTACCAAGGCCATATTGTGGCAGGTTCAATACAATAGATTAGGCTACACCTGACAGGAGGTATATTAAGCATGGGCATCAGCACTGTTGAGTGTTAGGGAGTTTTGATATGAAATTGACACACTAACTAAAAGATATGAGTGAACTATATCAACTGTCACAGAACGTCTAGATAAAGTAAAGTAAAGTGCATAGTTTCATATTATGCTTGCCCAGTTTAAAAGCAATCCTCAGAAAATCATTTCAAAAGAATAATTTGGGATTGAAGTTAATTGAAATAAGTTGATCTTGGGAATATCTTTATTGAGAAATGGGCTTTAGATAGAATAACTAGCATTCAAATCATGTCGATCCCTTGGCTGAGCTGAGGAGTGAGGACTTAATAAGGTTTTTCTTTTGTTGTATGATTGAGATTAACAATTGATCACGTTGTGCTACACAACCATAGCTGGCGCTAGTAAGTACTAATAGAAATAGCTAACTATCTGACAGTGCCAAGCCTGATCCAATAGTGCTGGAAGCTAAACGCATCATCAGACTATGTAACAGTGGAAGGTACATGGATGACCTAGCAGCTGAGCATGGTTTCAAGTACTTGCGTTGAAATTGAGGAAAAAGTCTTAAGCGAAAGATTAATCCGTTTATAAGATAGGGTCCGTGATAAATTTCTATTTTGCTACTATGAGAATTGAAGGAATTGAGGTGTAGTTAAGTGATATTGGCCTATGTTTATTCGACAACGAACATCTCTATATATTAAGATATTGTTGGAATATCATGCAAATAGTTTAAGTAATTTCTTTCTGAGCTGTTTAGATCACAGAAAAGCAGATTCGATATGGACTGTTTAAATTCGTATTTTGAAATAATTTGTTTCAGTGACCATTAAGAGCTGTGGCATTTGTTAACTGCATCGTTAACCTCCGTTTCGTTTTGAAACGTCAAGTGACTGATTAAGTCAAGTATTTTGTTCTATAACATTTTCACAGGGTATAAATTTGTAAGAGGAGTAAAAGTTTATGTATTTCTGCTGTTTACTGTTTATAAAATGCTCATTGTGGCCAGTTATTTGAAGATTTTCATTGTCAAATTAAAATTTAAATCGTAATCATGAACAATCAATCCTGTCATGATAGGATATATATTTGTTTAATAATTTAGCTTATTAATGGAGGTGTCTTTGAAGGAAAAACGTTGTAATCGAGGGTTTATTATATAGTACCTTAGTTCGTATATTTATGGCGGGCAATATTGTGATGGGTAAAAATATTGGCAGAAATATGGCAGATTTTCCGAAAAACCGCAAAATGTATCCCACCATAATTAAACGAAGGTAAGGAGAGACCTGCCGTGCCAAAAGACATTCAGTTAGATAGCCTGCTAAGTTCTGCAAATATTTCGATTTACGAATTAGCTATTCATAAAAGACGGTTGTAAAAACATCGGAATACCTTATTAGTCTCAGCAGAACACTTGTGTTAGTTCAGTCTTCTGGGCCCCATCACCCATGGCCTATTAAACACCATAAAATGGATGACAAATTTATCACGGTATACTTAGGCATAATCAATTCATCGGATGATATAATTATATTATATTGATAATTACTGCATGGGCGGCACCCAGTCTAGTCTGTAATTCTGCCAGATCTACAATCAATATATAAATGTATGCACATAAAGCCTGTGGTCCCCAGGTAAATCGATAATTGGCCCAGTAACACAGACTAATTTTTAGATATTCATTAAAGGATGATTTCTTCTGAATTTAAACTGTTTTTGAATCAGGAAATGCTGATGGTGGACTTCATATACTTTAATTCAATTAGTTCCAAGGACAACTGTATACTAATATATTTTATACGCTTAAACTTGAACATAAAATAAACTAATAAAATGCACTATGCAGTACGGGAATTCTTCATAAGATTGGGCCAGGCTTTTTCTCTGCCAAATAACTTATAATAAAACGGCTAAGCTTGAGGTCTTCACATTTTACTTTCATTTTAATCATTAATGTTTAAGTCCCAGATCATTTCCGCATACTTTCAATTATACCAGCTGTTGCAGTTATTTATTATAACGAAGGTTTTCAGAAACATTTACATTGTTATTTGTATTATATTATTATGTGTGTAGTCGTTTTACATTTGGTTGCAAATAGCGAGCTCTGTTATCAGCTGTTGTAACTTGCGATAAGAAGTGCTTGTCTTTTAGTGTGATCGTTTTGTAGCCTGTATACAAGAACTGTACATTGGAATATACACGATGCAGTACTCATACCATGAACATACGAAGCATTTGGTCGATGACCCCGATAATGATGATCTGTTTAGTGCCAGACATGCAGATCAGGTAGCGAGAGCTACAAACAGTGTTTTCAATGAAATGTGCCATGAACTGGATGTTAAGGAATACGGAGATCTAGTATTGAAAAACCTGAACAAGCGATCAGTTTCGAAAGAAAAACTGTGTGATTGGCTGCAAACTGTTTGTTTCATTTTGAATCGTTATGCAGCTCCTCATTTGCAAATGGCTGCGGAGAGAGTAGATAAACAGAACATTTCATTAATCGCGGAGCAGAAAACTGTCATTGATTTGCAGAAGCAGCTCATTGAAAAGAAGGACGAAGAACTCAAGTCTGTCCAAACAACTGTGCAGACAGAGATGAAATCATATTCTTCTGCCCTGAAGAAGACTTGTGCTGCTGCTCTTACGCCAAAGAAGATCTGTACTGCAGTTAAGACAATAGCTGAAAAGGATGAAAGAAGCAGAAACGTCGTAATCTACGGAATAAGTGAATCCGACGGCGAGAAGTTAGAAAACAAAGTTGCTGAAGTTCTTGGTGAGATAAACGAGAAACCTTCATTTCGTGACTGTTGTAGAGTTGGTTTGAAGAGAGCCGGCACATTAATACGACCTACTAAACTATCTCTAAATAGCTCTGATATGGTTACTCAGGTGCTGCGAAAAGCGAAACTACTACGCACAAAAGAGGGCTATAAAAGTATCTACATTTGCCCAGACAGATCAGTGGAAGAAAGGAGAGCTTACAAGAAGCTCTGGGAGGAATTGAAAGAGAAGAGGAAAGCAGAGCCTAACAGAGTTCATTTCATAAGGAACAATAAGATTGTCAGCTCTGATAAGAACAGTGTATCAGCCTCGTCTGAAGAAATTTGAACTGTTTCACATTCTTCACCACACATTTATTTTATCACAATTTTGTTTCACACTTTAAAAAATCATATCGGGGCCATGTAATTGCGGGCACGTTTTACTGTGCAGTACCGTGTTTGGTCTCCCGTCAGATTTTACAGTTTATTTCATACGTTGTAATTGCTGTACTCTGTAAATTTTGAAAAGTATTTAATAAAAAAATAATTTGTAATTGTACTTCTTAAAGTAAAATACAAACATACACAATTACGAATATAATAAATAAATCGCTTTTTATATGAATACGAATATAAACATATGCAAGAATCTTGAAAAGATCACCGCACATCGAAATTAACAATTGGTGTGCCAGGTACTAATATATAAAAGTGAATCTGTAAACTGTTTGACAGTTGTTCATGTTGTGTAGTACAGTGTATAAGAGGCAGTTTTGAGTTTGTGATATAAAAGTTTTACCATGCATGTTGACGGATGTTACTCATCTAAATTTCTTCGAAGTAGCGCGCGCCGCTTTCTTCCGATGGCACGAGCTACGAAGTAGCGCGCGCCGGGCCAGATCATTAACAATGGTCAACCATGCATGGTCCATGCGCCCCTATCCTTATGCGCGGCGCACTTTTTGCTTTTCGAGCTTCTCACATGTGCAATGTAGGTAAAGAAACTAACAAATAGCTAAATTAATTTGACCTAATCCATTTTCATACGACATTATACATAAATTATTTAACAATGTTACTGACATAATTTTTTTTATATATCCTGTCATCACTCCTGGAGTAATGGATATTGTATGTTTATTTCAATAAATATAATAATCAGTAAATTAGAATAGAAACTTGTCTTCTTTTCAGCTCACTCTTCTGAAACCTCTTCCTCTACATTCTCAACCTCATCTCCAACTTCCTCATCTTCATCATCAACATCATCACCCCTGTCTTCATCGCTGGTGGTGTGTGCGAGATTTAGGTCCAGTTCATCAACAGGTATTGCTTTCTCATAATACCGTCCTCTGTGTCCTCTCACTGCAATCAAAACTGTTTTGAGTAGCTCAAATCGCAAACGACGTCTAAGATTTGCCATGATGAGGCTTTTGTCCTGGCTGGTCTTGGCTGCCAGAAGTGTTGCCACTCGTTTAAGGAACATGGTAGCCTGTGGGCCCATACCTCCGGTGGTCGAGAATACAAGGCCATTGCAGGTTCCTTTTTCGATCTGTACACAGCGGTCTCCATATTTCCTTTCTTTTTCTCTCTCATGCTTCATGTACATCTTTGCTGGGGTGTTGTGATTAGCGTTGGATTTGGCTCCGGGGTGTAAAACCCTGATATCAAAAAATGCCATCTCCATTGGTGACCACAGACCTCTAGCTGCAATGTCAAGCCTTGCCCCATCATCCAGAATTGTACCAGGGCGAAGGCTTTCTCCAGTGCATGGCTGGAGTGTGGGCTCTACAACAACCTCATTACAGATTTTTTCAAGAATGCTTGCAATGGTGTCTCTCAGTCGGTTGTGTCTGCTGTTGACAAAACCTCCTTTCTTGCAAATGAGAATGTGGTTGTAGGTGTTATCCTTGCCACAAATGCATTTCTTGGCTATGTTGGCAATGGGTAGAGCAATTCCACCGTGACGGACACCACGATTTTGCTGTTTTTTAAAGTTCAAACGAATTTTGTACTCGAGATGTTGTTTATTTATCAGTTCCAACTGTTTATTAGTCCACATTTAACCTTTCTACAGGTTGTGTGAAAATTTCAGACCCCTACTATTATTACTTTCTGAGATAGCACCCCTGTGACGGACGCGACTTAAATATGACACTTTTTTTGGGTGTCTACTCAGATGGTACCCAAATTTATCTCAAAAAGTTATCTATTGTCTCTAATTTGGAATTAAAATGATAGAAGAAGGTTTAGGGATTTCTGAGATGCCATTTTCTTAGAGATTGCTCAATTTTTGTTTGCGTGGCGCCATTTTCAAATTGTGACAGACGTGACTGTGACGGACACACGTTTTTTTTCAATTTTTCCAAATCTTCCACTTGACACTTTTATCTTGTTCAGTGACATCTACTCTGTATTCATGCCAATTTTTAGGCCTCAAATACCCCCAAGAGGTCTGCAATAGCCAAAATTGTCCATTATGGGCATATGCTAGGGTATCAGTCTAGGGGCATCAATTATTTCTTTACTTGAACAAATTTATAACTCTGGTAAAACATTCATCACTGTTCAATGCATCATACTGTTGAGACCATCTTCTAAAAGTTTCATTACTTTAGTGTTTAAAATGTGGAAGATATTGAATTTTTACTTCAAAAATATGCGAAAATAGGGTAAAGTCCATTTTTTGTGCCTTTTACCTCTGAAAAAGTTGAAAGCAAATAAAGTGGCAAAAACTCAGTAAATTTAATTATTGAATTGCATATGATGTTATTTGATAGTCTAGTCAATATAGTCAACACAATCCAACCTTATTTGACTTCTATTTGTCTTGGTTTTAGTCAAAATAATGGAAATATGGATAAAAATGGCTAAAAGTGAGCCGTACGCCCATATATGGGCATATACAAAATTATACATAACTCGGCCATTTTCTGTCCAATTTTCGATTTGACGACATAGTTTTGTTGAGGACAGTCTCAGCTTTAAGAAAAATGCATTTAAAGTCTGTTTAAGGATTTTTTGGAGCATTTTCAAAAAAATGTGATGGACGCGACAAGTTGGGACCCCCCTTCCAAAATTTTTTTCTTAAAAGATACAAGCCTGATAATTTCTACGGTACTCCCTTACCTTCAGAAGAGATATGTTACAGTGGTTTTTTGAATATAAATAGCACTATGTGGCTCTGAAAAAACTTTTTTGCTTAATTTTGTGACGGACGCGACACCATCTTTGTGGAAATTTTTTAGAAAAAGTATTTGAATAACGGTTTTGAAACTTTGCATAGCTCTCATTCTTATGCCTATGCCTAAGTGTATGGAATTTCATAGAGAAATATTGCTGCATACCCAAACTATGGCCCTTTGAAAATTTGAATGATTTTTTTCATTTCCGAGTAGTGTTCCTTCGAATGAGAAAAATCAAAAGTTAACGCAATATGAAACAAACAACTTTTGTTGACCTGTAAAGTTAAGAGTCTAATGAACATATTTTAACCAAAATTAGGTGCCTATCTTAACATTTTTCATTTTCACCAAGTGGAACCTTACCGTGGAATTGCCCCCCCAGCTTTATTTGTCACCCATCTGAGTGCTGCTGACACCTTCCCTTGAAGCATAAGCTTGGAGAATACTTTGTGGGTATGTTGAGGAGTAAACTTGCTTGATGTTAAACGCTTCTGAATAGCTTTACCTTCTTTGATAAGGCCCTTGATGTCGCCTTTCTCCCAAAGTTTGAGGCGATCTTCAAGATATCTTACGTGGTCCTTTGTTTTGGATCGTTTGGAAGGTTTTTGGAGGAGCAGGGCTGGCATAACCATAAGTGCAGTCATGGCCACATTTTGAAGGGGGGAGTTGTTAACATAGTAATTGATGACTTTAGAGGTTGCTTTCACATAAGCTTTACCTTGAGCACCAGAAGGAACCTTGAACAGGTTTTTCTTCCACTTGATTATTTCATCATAGGCATTGCCAAATGTCTCTTTAATAACATGCCCCTTGAGCGAACCCCATGTTGCTGGTGCTGAGTCAGCTGTCTTCACAAAACTTGGGAAGCCAGGGAAAGCCTCTTTACCATAACATGAGGAACAGTACCAATATCCCTCACCAACTGCTTGATAGCCCTCTGAAAGGCATGTTACATGGAACCATTTTCCACAAACACCATCACATCCAACAACATTCCCTCCACGATCAGCTGTTGTGCTGCATATTGGGCAAAGGATTCTTGCATATGTGCTTGCATATTGGGCAAAGGATTCCACTGACATAATTTCATGAATTACATAAAGTGTCGTTTGTATTTTAACTAAAAGCTTACTGGGCCGCGCTCAGCCTGTCATTCCGCCTAATCTCTATGTTAATGAACATAATAGCCTCAGGTAACTAAAAGCACACTTTCCAAATTATGCGAATTGAATCGGCAAATGCAGCAGCTTATCATTTTTAAAATGACAAACCAATATTACCTAGAAAACCTTACCACCTGCCGGGCTCGCTAGAGGTGATCGATTTTCAACAGCACGTTTGTCCTTGCGCGTCACATCAAGTTCACCAGCTTTCTTGTAGGTTTACAACCTACCAGGACGCGCGCCGAGGACGCGCGCGTCGTCGTGTCCAATATATGGAACAGATATTTCACGAGTATCACCCGTTAACAGCTTTCTTGCTCTATCCAGAGCCCTTGCGCTTGCAGTAGCGCGCGCCCGCCTCACGGCGGTAAAACTTGCGAAACAAGCGCGCCCGCATTGGCGCAAAAGCACATTGCACATGGTTGAGTGAACCAGCTTTCGCACGCTGCATTTAGCCTATTAGTCATGACAACGACATTACTTTGCAAAATTTAAAAGCTACAATCTTTTATTTAGCCCAAAATCAAACTTTTCGGTTTAATTCAGAATCTAAGTTGACCCAAATTTGACTCCTGGGGAGCTAACTTTTAATTTACGAGACGGAAATGTTGTTGAAAAGGTTCTCTCTATTTTACTTTTGGAAATATAACCCAGCTGGTAGGGTTTGCTGGGTACACAATAACCATAAAATAAAAAAGCTATTTTTTTTATAAAAGACTTATCTGATCTTAACAACTAACTATTTTTGATTTTTAATTTAGCAAATTGATCAAAAATAAGTTAAGTTTTAACAGCGCCGCGCATATTCTTAATCATTAATGTTTAATGAAATTTGTATCAAAACGACGGCCCAGCAATGGTTGAGTGTGAGTTGTTTGCGCTACGAGCCCAACTAGAACAACTAATAAACAATTAAAACTTATTATACATCAATCACATGTGTAGATATACACAGGTGCACTGGCCATTATACAATTGTCTTGACAGTATTACTGGGCCTTATCACGATTATGTCTTTTCTTTTATTTTTAAAAAATTGTTTATGTCTCAAGTATAAAATAATACGTGCGTGCGTGGCTTTAGCCGCGCCGCATAATAATGAATGCGCGTGTGTAGGGGCTGAGTACGCTTGTTTATTATTTATAGATTAATGAAATATTGACGGATGTTACTCGTCTAAATTTCTTCGAAGTTGCGCGCGCCGCTTTCTTTTCGATGGCACGTGCTACGAAGTAGCGCACACCGAGCCAGACTTGAGTCCATTAACAATGGTCAAATGAAATATTGCATTGTAAATATTTAGAATTGACCATATATTATGATCATAAAATAAATTTTATAAAGCAGGCTTTGGATTTAGGTAAAATTACGATTTATTTAAAAAACCACGGATAGTTTTAAATTTTCTTTGTCGTATAACTATAAACAAGTTAATCCTGTTTTCATGAATGCGCGGCTTTGACGGCCAGTTTATATACATACAATTGAATTTTTAAACAGAAATGCGGATATTTTCAAAACGGAGGCTTATAAATATTATTTGTTTGTTGTTTAGTTGTGTTGAAAGGGAACATTACTTAATTAATTCATCCATTCGGATTTTAATAACGATGAGCTATGATATACCGTTCATCTTAGACTATTGGATCAATCTTATTATATGATTAGATTTTATAAACGAACTTGGCACACAAAAGATTATAATGCGGAGGTTGGCTGGCTCTTCTATAATAAATACGACACTTCAATTTACAGAATGCTTGCTAGAGATAAGACAAATTATTATCAGACTATACATGCAGCATGAGTAACTGGTGGATAAGCCTTCGGTAAAAACGGATCCGGAAAAGTCAATGCGGCACTCGGGTCCTTGGTATTGTCGTCGGTATATTGTCCATTATCTACGTTCTGCTTTCGTAGTTTAAACAATAGTGAGTTCTAAATATACAGCTTTAAACCGATTAAGTATGAATGAATGAAATACCTGACAATCCGCACTCTTATAATCCAAAAGCATGAGTAACTCGTGGTGATGTATGATTTCTAGAAACTTTAAATTAATTTTGGCGCTCGTGAATATGTGATCGCCGCATAAGGTTCTGTAAATGCGCACCTTCAAGCTTAAATTATTCACCTTACTGAGGCAGTCAACCAACGCGCAGCTTCATTTTTATGATATGATATGTTTTGATTGTTATTAATAAATACCAAAATTTAAATTTGTTTTCCTAAAATTTGTTTTCCTATTATATTATGATTGTAAAATAAAGGATAAAATTTTTAATTTGTTTCACTTTTCGCCAGCTGGATCACAATACATACATAACAAGCTTGTTTCAGTTAGCGCATATTTTTAAGTTTTGAAAAACAAATAAAATCAATCTCGTGGGATATCAACACAAATTTCTTGTATTCATTTTGCTGATTCAAATTCTAACATCCAATATGTAGTGTTTTTGAAAACATTTCAAATCTTTTTGTTAAATATTTCTAGGATACATCATTTATAATAGTCAATAGTACAGCTTACTATTAGAGCCCAGATTT